TAATTAGTTTTGCGGGGCGAAAGGGTAGGTTGGGTTTTTTGCTATATTTTTATACCCTGAACCCATTTTCAATGGGAAATCAGGGTATAATGGTTTTGTTGAAATGTATGTATCAGGCAAAAGGAGGCGTGGCAGACCCCACAAAGTATGTATATTCTTGATCAGGGTGACGAGCTGAGTCGATTTGGCCCTGTCTGTCTGTCTGTCTGTCCGTCCGTCTATCCGTATGTTTGAACGCGTAGATTTCAATTTTTTTTTTTTTTAAATGACCGTATATACAGCGCAAGAATCGAGCTTATCATTAAAAATCGATAACTCATCCCGATATTTTTATCGATAACGAACCTTATCGAAAACAAGTTATAAAACTATATTTTCTACACCTTTATTGCTAGAGTCTCCAAATTTTTAATGTATGCTTATATGCAATTTATGCAATTTCGGATTTTGTTAAAATTTACCCCCCACCTCTTTGTCCGCCCCCTCACCATCACTTTTGTAAAAGGCGTATTTCAAATACTAGAGACTTGTGCTTTGGCAAATACATGCATATCCATATTATAATCATAATCTGAACGTTTCATGAAGATCGTATTTTCAGAAAAAAAGTTATTAAACAATTAAGTTCTCATAGTAAGCGCACACTGCAGCCCATGCGTGTTTATGCTTGTGTGTGTATGTGTTGGTGTATGTAAATGTTTGTATATGTCTGTGTATATGTCTGTGTGTATGCGTGTGTGTGTGTGTATGTATGCCTGTGTGTGCGTGCGTGTGTATGTCTGTGGTGCGTATTTCTTGTGTAAGCTGAAAGACGCGAAAAATTATTGAAATAGCTAATGCTCCAAGGATTCAGGGGATCTTGTAGCCGAGCAGTCTCGACTAGAGCTTTCTTACTTATTATATGTATGTATGTAACAGGCAGAAGGAATCATCGCAGACCCCACAAAGTATATATATTCTTGATCAGGACGACGAGCTGAGTCGATATAGCCCTGTCCGTCTGTCCGTCCGTCCGTCCGTATGAGCAAAAGGATCTCAGAAGATATAAGAGCTAGAGAGCTGAAATTTGGCATGCATACTCGTGTATACCATAGGCAGTTTGCTTTATTTTTTCGATAACTCATCCGATAACTTTTTTATCGAGAATAATCGAAAAATCGACTTGGTTTTTTCAGCCTAGTTTGAACACCTGAATCTGGAGACTTCAAATTTGCGTTGTATATAGAGTTAATGGACACAAAAATTTTGTAATTTACAGATTTTGGATACCACGCCCCCATCGCCCCAAATTTGTAAAAAACGCATTTCAAATACTAGAGACTTGGGCTTTGGAATGTACAATTTAACCATATGATTACGCTCTGAAATTTTCATTAAGATCGTGTATCTACAAAAGAAATTATTCGACAAATAAATTCTCATGAATACAGCCGCTGCTTACTGCGCAGTTAGCAGAGCGCGTGCTTATTAGTGCATGTGTATGTATGTGTGCATAAAAGAAGTCCAGAACGATGAGAATATCAGCTTGGAGGGTTCAGGGTATCTCCTAGTCGAGCAGTCTCGACTGGAGCCTTCTTACTTGTTTTATTTCTGTAGCTTTTTTGCTGGGATCTAATTATTTTTTGTATTGTGGCTGTTTCTTTGTTTATGTTTGTGCTTGGTTTTAGTTGGATTGAGTATTCTTCTGCGAGTTCTGAAAATCGTTCCCAATTGGCTTTATCGGTGATGAAGATGGGTTTGGAGGATGTGTGTTGTGCTCTTGTTGGATAAGAGTTAAAGAGGTTAATTATAACAGGGAAGTGGTCGATACCGAAGAGATCATTTTCTGTGTACCATGTGCTGTCAAGTTGTAAAATTGGACTACTAAAGGTTATGTCGATATTTGTTAGTGTATTGTGGGTGCTAAGGTGTGTTGGTGAACCGTCATTTAGTAGGATGTAGTTTGATTGAGTTATGAATTTGTCGAGTATTTCGCCAGTGACTAGCACGGGTATGTTTGAGGTTTCTAAAACATTTTGGAGATTGTTTATAGAAAATTCCCTATTTGGTGCTATGTAGGCTGAAATTACTCTAAATTTGAGGTTTGACTTGAGTTCTGCACATGCTGCATCGAAGCCACCGTTCAGGCAGATTTCTCGAATTTTTAGGGAATTATGTATCAGTAGAGCTACGCCCCCATGGGAAGGTGAACTGTTCTTTGTTATTAAGGTGTAGTTGTTTGGTATAGGTATGGGTTTGGGGTGTATTATGTGTGTTTCTTGTAGAGATAGAATAAGGGGCGTGTGTTTTTTAATTATTGTTTGTAGTTCGCTGTAATTATTTGTGTAACCGTTTATGTTCCATTGGGTAATCTTAAAGGTCATTTGGTTTTATTTAAGTTTAAAGAGAGGAATGTGAGAGTATTGTGAGTCTATTTTTGTGATAAATGTTAAATACTGTCGCTGTCGTTGTTGTCTTTGTGTTTTCCTTTTTTGAGGTTTTGGCACTTGCTGGGTTGGATTTTGTGGGTCTGAGGTTTGTTGAAAGTGTATTATTTTTTCTCTTTAGGGAATATTCTTAATTTTAGGTCGTTTGTTTTTTCGCTTGCTAGGTTTTGTGAGTTGGTGAGGTCGACTTCGTCCATTTCCATGTCTTCTTTGCGATGGTGCTGGTGCGATGTGCTTATCCTTGAGGTCCTTGGGTGCTCTGATAATAGGTCGTGGTAAGATATGGGTTGGGACGAGGTGTTCGTTTGCTGGGCTGATGATGGTTTTTTGTAATGGGTCGGGGTTGATGTTGTCGTAACTGTATTTGTTTTTGGTATTGTTGAGTGAGCGTCTTGATTTGTGACAGCTTTGGTCAATGTTGATGCGCAGCTGTTGCTAAGTTGCGGGTTATGGCGAGAGTGGTAAATTGATAAAGCTGTTTTGTGGTCTACTTTCTCTGTAGTTTTGATTGCTACCAGTTCTTGTTGTTTTAAGAATGTTGGACATTTGCGGTCAAGTGGGCTGTGTTTGGGGTCGACTTCGGAGTTGTTTATGCAGTTTAGGCAGCACTTCTCGTTGGTGCATGTCTCATATTCAGGGGTGTGTGTAATTTGAGAGCAGTTTTTTGTTTCTTCTGGACTTTTGCAGATCGGTGTTGGATGTCCAAATCGTAGGTATTTTCTGCATCTCAGAGGTAGAGGAATGTACGGGCGAACTCTTGTGCTTTCATATCCAATTTTTATTGCTTCTGGAAGGTTGTGTGTGGCAAATGTAACGATTATAAGTCCCGTTTCAGTCATGCCTTGGTCTTGTTTTTATACCCTGAACCCATTTTCAATGGGAAATCAGGGTATAATGGTTTTGTTGAAATGTATGTAACAGGCAGAAGGAGGCGTGGCAGACCCCACAAAGTATATATATTCTTGATCAGGGCGACGAGCTGAGTTGATTTGGCCCTGTCCGTCTGTCTGTCCGTCTGTCCGTCTGTCCGTCCGTCCGTCTGTCCGTATGTATGAACGCGTCGATTTCAGAAGATATAAGAGCTAGAGACTTCAAATTTTTTTTTAAAATGTTCGTAATTACAGCGCGCATATCAAGTTTATCATTAAAAATCGATAACTCATCCCGATCTTTTTTTATCGATAAAAAACCTTATCGAAAACCAGTTATAAAATTATATCTTCTACACCTTTATTGCTAGAGTCTCCAAATTTTTAATGTATGCTTATATGCAATTTATACAATTTAGGTTTTTGTTAAAATTTACCCTCACCCTTAAATTCACCCCCCTCACCCTCACTTTTGTAAAAGCGTATTTCAAATACTAGAGACTTGTGCTTTGGCAATTACATGCATATCCATGTCATAATCATAATCTGAAAGTTTCATGAAGATCGTATGTCCACAAAAAAGTTATTAAGCAATTAAGTTCTCATAGTAAGCGCTCACTGCCGCCCATGCGTGTTTATGCGTGGTTGCTTGTGTGTGTATGTGTATGTAATTGTTTGTGTATGTGTGTGTGTGTGTATGTGTGTATGTATGTGTGTGTATGTATGCCTGTGTGTGCGTGCGTGTGTGTGTGTGTGTGTGCGTGTTTCTTGTGTAAGCTGAAAGACGCGAAAAATTATTGAAATAGCTATTACTCCAAGGGTTCAGGGGATCTCGTAGTCGAGTAGTCTCGACTAGAGCTTTCTTACTTGTTTAAAATATTTTTCGCACTTCGGTTACGCTTTGAGGTTTAAGCTCATCTAGTATTTCTGCTTCCTCTATGTTTCGTAATTCGTTGCAGTAGATTACTCCCTTAGAAAAGTTTAGTGTCTTGTGTTCAGTGGCTTCAACTTCGATATCGGCTATATTTTTGTTTTTAGTAATTTCATTGTTTGTAAGGTATTTTTGTTTTGATTAGTAAGGTGCCGGCGCGAGTTTTTTTTTTGCATAGGTCGACTTCTCCTCCACATGTGTAGTCTATTGTTTTTTTAATTAGAAACGGTGATACATTTTCAAAGGATTTATTGTTTTTTCTGTTAATTACAATGTATTTTGGGTTGTTTAGGTTTTGATATTTGGTGTAGATTGGTTTTTATTGTTGTGTTTATGTCGGGCGGCTTAAGCATTGTCGTTGTTTTTGTCGGGCTTAGGCCCCGCGCTTTGGTTTGTGACTCTTGCAGTTGTTGTTTTTTATTTTCGTATTCTGTTATGTGCACTTGTTTGTTTGTCTGATCTAACTGATAAGAGTTTTTTGTAATGCTCTTTGGGCACCGCAGAAACGCAGAAGTAACACGTCATATCTCGATGAGGGTTTCAGTGAAACTGAGACTTCCAGAGACTTCAAGTGTGTGTGCTTGCCCGTCGCAAAATCATATTCTTTATGCGTATCAACGCTTTCATACCCTTCCCACGAATAACCATCGAAACGCTACATTTTGTTTGCATGAGCGTGACAAACGCTTTTATGATTTCGGTATACTCTTCACTCAATAGGAAAGAGCTGGTATCGTCGCGAACAATTTTCAATTTCTGTGCGCTGCTGCTATTTGAGAGACCATAGAGAGAGATAGAGTGAGAGAGAGAGTAGGATAAATAGCGCATAGCCGTGCTTCATATAAGAATGGCATCATTTCGTTTGAGCGCATTTTGTCGCATTTTTTTGTCGTTGAAAAAATTTTTTCTAGATGTCTAGTCTATATGTAGTATCGATGGATTTGGGCTCTCATGATATATCGATGGTTTATTTCATCCATCAATAATTTACTACTTGGTGGCGCGAAGAGGCGCATGTAAGCATTTTCCGGAATATACATATATAACATAACATATATATATAAGTTAACACTAGTCAATGCATAGCACTTCCTCTTCTCCCCTACCATCAACTTGGCGCCTCTGCTTCCCAACATGTCTCAGGCCGTTGCCGCCCTGCTGCTGCGACGTCGACGTCGACCTGGAAAACGAAAAGGAAGAGAAGCCGCCGCCTGACGAAAGGCAGTCGATGGCAGTCGGTGGCTGGCAGCTGAACTGGACGAGACGATACATTTAACAAATATTAACAATTCATTGCGAAATTATAACGATTTAAATCGAACTATTCCAAGATTGTTTTTCTTTTGGTTTATCCGAATCTGGGAAACTAAATAACGATAAGTATAACCCTTGGACGTGGTCGCCATTAGAGTAACAAGGCATCACGATCGTTAACTGGCGCCCGAGCAGGGACCAATTCGTTTATAAAATTGTGCGGATAAAAAATAGAAATATAGTGCCACGAGTATTCCCTAAATAAAAAATAAAAAATTATATAATACGTGAAATTTTTTTCAGTTTTTCCGCGCAAAACAATCAAATATAAGTGACTAAAAATAAAAAATACGTAAATAAAAAATTAAGATAATAATTATAATTTTAATATGATTAAATAATATGCAATGATACGGAAGTTTTGAAGAATTTTTTTTAAAAATCTTTTTCGTCGGTATTGCGCGAGTTACATATGTCTAGGCACCCGTCCATGTTCCCCCCAAAAGCAGACGCGTCTTGCCTTATAAGCAAGTACTCGACTATTTTGCAGCGGCGACACTGACAGAGAAACTACCAAGAATTAGAATATAAACAGTTCTTGGAATCCTGTCAGCAGCGACGCAGACAACGAAACGACGGCGGCAAGAGATGCAAAAGCAGAGCTTGCAGTCAGTTCTATTTTTGACAATCAGTCGACTAGTCGAACAAAAACAGAGCTAATCAACTTAAAATAAAAAAGCCATAGACACCATAACTCGCGCGAATCAAAATAATAAAAATAAAAGTACTAAAAAAATAGTAATAATAATAATTAATTAAATATGATACGACACAACGCAATGAGAAAAAATTTCACTCAATAATACAGGAAACTTTGTGTTCAAGAATTAAAGGAATTTGTGCGTGTGCTAATAATATAAGAAAAAGTCTGTGGAAAATGTGTACGTAATCTCTATGTTAAGAGATGCGTGGGTTCGACTCCCTTCGCAGACCAAATAAAGAAATAAAAAGTTGAAAAAGCCGACGGCAAATTTTTAGTGGGCAGTGCACTTGTGATGTGTGATGTCGGGGTTCGACTCCCTGCCGTGCGGTGATATTCAATTTGAATTATTAAAAATGTTATATAAAATCATGCAGCTAAGGTCGGTGGCTAAAAAATATTGGTGGGCAGTGCATGTCAGGGGTCCGACTCCCCGCCACCCGACCCGAAACCGCTGATAATTTGCGCACATTTTATAATCGAAAGTGGTCTCAGTTTTAATTTTAAGAGATAACCACTGTGGCAGCTTTGAACTGCAAGTGGCATTTTTTAAATTTTAAGAGATAACCAGTGGGGCAGCTTCGACCTGCAAGTGGCATTTACAAGCACAAAAAGCAAAACAAAACGAAAAAGTAACATGCAGTGAGTGTGAGTGCAAGTGCGTTACTTGCTGATAGAGGTGTGTGGTTATGCACTGTGTTCCGTTGGAAAGGCCTTGCAATCAAAAATAAAAGACAAAATACAAATATTGCGTTCGGCTGCCCAACGGTTCGTGGAGTCGTTCTTACCCCAGTAGGCTGTAACAGGCTAAAAAGGATAATAAGGACCTCCCGTTAAGTGCAAATCGGCCCACACCTTGGCATACGATACGCTGCAACTCACGCCTGTGCGCAAAGAATACAATATGACACTATAAAAAATACCCTATAAATTTACCCTATTAAAAAAAAAATAAATAAATAAAATAAAAATAAATAAAGATAAATACGATCAACCAAATAAAGGACAGATTAAAGAAGTCAGCATACTCATATGCACAGTAGCGCACACACATTGAGAACACCGACTAACATTTATTCTGGATTAAAGAAGTCAGCACATTCATACGCACACTAACGCACACATATTGAGAACATCAACTAACATTTATTCTGACATCCTATTAACTTAATTAATATACCTAATATCAAATATGGCGGACCACTAGCGACGTTGACACAGAGCAGGGATGGAGAGTGGATAGATATTTCAACCTGATCCACATGGTAATACTGGATGAAATTGTAGCGAGCATCGAGGCGACGAGAAATGAAGCACGAGAACTAAACGCAGGGCAAATCCGAGTCTTGACGTTGTATTACCCAGAACCACACGCCGCCAAACGCCTGCAACAATCACCGGTGACACTGAACCTCGTGTTGCACAGGCAAATGACATCACTCCGGTCACCCAGAAGGTTGTCTGATCTGCGGGACGCAGATACTTAAGGGGGGAGGAGTTAACACCAGTCAATGCATAGCACTTCCTCTTCTCCCCTACCATCAACTTGGCGCCTCTGCTTCCCAACATGTCTCAGGCCGTTGCCGCCCTGCTGCTGCGACGTCGACGTCGACCTGGAAAACGAAAAGGAAGAGAAGCCGCCGCCTGACGAAAGGCAGTCGATAGCAGTCGGTGGCTGGCAGCTGAACTGGACGAGACGATACATTTAACAAATATTAACAATTCATTGCGAAATTATAACGATTTAAATCGAACTATTCCAAGATTGTTTTTCTTTTGGTTTATCCGAATCTGGGAAACTAAATAACGATAAGTATAACCCTTGGACGTGGTCGCCATTAGAGTAACAAGGCGTCACGATCGTTAACTTATATATAAACATTAAGTTAATAATATTATTATATAGGGATTAGTTTTTATAGCTATATTTCAATGATATTTGGTGGTTCTTCGTCAGAATGTATGGACAAATTTTAAAAGCCATCACTTACAACATGAAACTGATGTTTAAAGTGCAAATGTTTTTTTATTATATTATGTACATTTAAGATGGCGCTTCTGCTTCGCGTTCTACTACTAGATTTTTGCACACCGCTTCTGAGGATGATGCATCCAATTTTATCCATATGTAATAAAATATATATTTTATTAGATATACAACCATCACATAAATATCCGATTAGTATGGTATTGTTATACAAAATTGCACGAATCATTTACGCTGGATGTATGATTAAAATTATTGAAAATTTATTTATTTCTAAGAAACTTCAAATCTTCGATGGAACTATCGATAGTATCGATGGTTCATTCCATCGATGGATAAATCTATCGAGGGTAACCTCTATCGATAGTTTTGCAGCCCTACTACCGATGGTTTTACGAACGGGCGATACCTCGATATTTTGCGAATACCGATAGTCTAACATATTCAAATGTCACCGACCTTTGAACGCGTATGGAATATAAAAACTTTAATGTCAGTTGTTTCATACATTGTTTGTGTTTCTTTTTATAATTAATAGCTATACATGTAAATGAAGACAGAAACATTTTTTGGTACCGATCTGTAAATGCAGACGAAATTTTAATTATTTTAAATTTCCGACAGTACTATCGATAGTATCGATGGCTTTCACTGACAATTGTTTTCGTCATCGATGGTTTTCACTATCGACTGTGAAAGAATTGATGGTAGTATAGCTTTGCATCCCTATTCCAAAGTATCCTCGTCTTTCTTCTGGAAGCCCTTGCTCGATAGAGTTGTCCCTCTATTCCCACGAGCCCGGGCACCCAGAGTAGTTCGAATTTGGGGAAGGTTTTGTACATAATATTGCGAGCGTATGCGGGATAATGATCATTGTTGTTTGGATTGCTAATTGCGTCTATTGCAGAGAGTGAGTCGGTGCATATGCAGAAATTACCTCTTTTGTATTTAATGGTCTCTAAAGCTTCTACTATTGCGATGAGTTCTGCGGAAAAAACGGAGGAGTAGTGGGCTAGGAGGTATGTTTTGATGGTAACGGCTTCACTTGTGATAGCAAAGGTAGTGGTAGTGCTGTTTTGGGATCCATCTGTATAGATGTATATGTAATTAGGGTTGTCTATGGTCTTAATTTGAGCGAATTCAGCTCTGTATGTTTGTGGGCATGTGTTTTTTTTTCTATTAAGGTTCCTCAGTGTCGTGTGTGCTTATTTTGGTTGCATTCCATGGAGTGGTGGTCAGAGTAAGTAGTTTTGCGGGGCGAAAGGGTAGGTTGGGTTTTTTGCTATATTTTTATACCCTGAACCCATTTTCAATGGGAAATCAGGGTATAATGGTTTTGTTGAAATGTATGTAACAGGCAAAAGGAGGCGTGGCAGACCCCACAAAGTATGTATATTCTTGATCAGGGTGACGAGCTGAGTCGATTTGGCCCTGTCTGTCTGTCTGTCTGTCCGTCCGTCTATCCGTATGTTTGAACGCGTAGATTTCAATTTTTTTTTTTTTAAATGACCGTATATACAGCGCGAGAATCGAGCTTATCATGAAAAATCGATAACTCATCCCGATATTTTTATCGATAACAACCCTTATCGAAAACAAGTTATAAAACTATATTTTCTACACCTTTATTGCTAGAGTCTCCAAATTTTTAATGTATGCTTATATGCAATTTATGCAATTTCGGTTTTTGTTAAAATTTACCCCCCACCTCTTTGTCCGCCCCCTCACCATCACTTTTGTAAAAGGCGTATTTCAAATACTAGAGACTTGTGCTTTGGCAAATACATGCATATCCATATTATAATCATAATCTGAACGTTTCATGAAGATCGTATTTTCACAAAAAAAGTTATTAAACAATTAAGTTCTCATAGTAAGCGCACACTGCAGCCCATGCGTGTTTATGCTTGTGTGTGTATGTGTTGGTGTATGTAAATGTTTGTATATGTCTGTGTATATGTCTGTGTGTATGCGTGTGTGTGTGTGTATGTATGCCTGTGTGTGCGTGCGTGTGTATGTCTGTGGTGCGTATTTCTTGTGTAAGCTGAAAGACGCGAAAAATTATTGAAATAGCTAATGCTCCAAGGATTCAGGGGATCTTGTAGCCGAGCAGTCTCGACTAGAGCTTTCTTACTTGTTATACCCAGAACCCATTGAAATTGTATGTATGTATGTAACAGGCAGAAGGAATCATCGCAGACCCCACAAAGTATATATATTCTTGATCAGGACGACGAGCTGAGTCGATATAGCCCTGTCCGTCTGTCCGTCCGTCCGTCCGTATGAGCAAAAGGATCTCAGAAGATATAAGAGCTAGAGA